GTGACTTCAGGTCCTGTGCACAAGGAATGTTTATGCTTCGGCATGGGTTCAGGAGGTATCAAGCAAACTCCGTATCAATACATGGGCACGAAGCACCACTTCTCAAAGGAATGTAAGTGTTCCTCCTTCATCAGCATTTATCGACTTCAGTGTTTTAAGCGCAAAGCTCCATACGCATTTCCACACATGCTTTCACAGGAGCTCGTGGTGGTCGAAAGCAAAAACTGGCTCTAAAAAGAACAGACCCTCATCTGAGGGGAATGGGTCCCTCTCTCTACTAGCCATCCTGATGCAAAGCTTATTTAAGAAATTCCCTTCATTTCATGCCAAAATCCACAAGGAGTATCTGGGTAGGCATTAACCTTCACCACAGAGAGTCTGCAAGACTGTAATAGCATGTGTGAGAATATACTAGCCCATTTTAGTGCTTTGGAGTAATAAAGGTAGATTTTCCTTTCCTGGCTGCAAGGCCCTTCACTAAAACAAAGGATAACTGGGGCCTGCTGTTTTCTCCGTCACTTGTGACCTTGGTAGCCTAAGGGATTTTATACCTCAAAGGCCCTAATTCTCAAAGGGACTTCCTCCAGACAGCCAGGTAGGAATCACTGTGCTGCAGTTAGCTGTCTAGCTGCTTCAAAGGGATGAAGAATTAGCCCATCTACAGCATTGCCTGCCAGCTAAGTTAAGGATTTACCTACATTAAGATCAAAATACAGGCACAGCAGGCCTTCACTGACAGGTGAATGAGGCATATTATAAAACTAGCTCACATATCTATGTGCTATCCAATCATCTCAGATGCCAGTGACAGCAGTTCTACTGCAGCTCAGACCGAGCTCCCCTGCCTCTTGGTCAGGGCATGAACAAGCTGCACCATAGACACAATTAGGCACGGATCCAGGTAGCTTGTTCTCTACATTGCCATGCATTGCCAGCATTTTTACCTCGAACATCCCTGAAATCCTTTGGTTTTCATTATAAATCATGCATGCTTTCGATAAACAAACAAAAAAGAAAGCTGGGAAGCCTTGCTTTTATTAACCGCAGGGTGCTCAGTGACAAGGTGATAAAAAGCTGGCAGTGTATCATGTACATGTGAGCAAGGAGTTAAAAGCTGTGGGCTTGCAGAAAACCCACAGCTTTATTTTATAGCGAGAGTACATAAAGCCACAAATCTGTTGCGATGCTGACCTGGCACATCAGGACTAGAGCTTGTTTGTGAGGCATTAGATCCACTACTAAAAAAAGTCCTATCATAACCCAGTTTGGTAAAATGGAAGCTGTAGCTCCCTTAACAAACAGGAATATGCATGGAATTGAATTAAAAAGCAGACCATGACACTTGATTGTGGATGTATCCACTTACATCAGATTACTCCATCCCATCCCCAAGCTTTCTAGCCTAGACTTCACCCAGTCAACCGGGACTCTTAGCTGGGAATCCCTGATCAGAAGGGTCAACCGACTGGCAACTCATCCTTCCAAGTTGAGGCTGGGTGTGGACAAGATATAACCATGAGAGAAAGGCAGAATAATGAAAGTAGCTAAATTCCTAAATAGGCATTTCAGCCACCTAAGAGTTACTGTACACATACAGCTTTCATCTCTCTAGGGATGTAACTTGTGACTAATTCCACACCTAACTTTAACCTAGGAATGACCTATAGCCATCCTTCTTCCAAAGGAAAGGTTTCTTACCTACTTAGCAATTCCTCATACAGAAATAGATTCCTTCCTTTGATCTGCTTTATCCTTCCGAGAACCTCCTGAGTCCTATTTTAACTTTTTTTTTTTTATATGTAATGACAAAAAACACACAGTATTCAAGATATGGGCAAGCCATTTATTTGTAATGACTGTTTTCCTGTTTAGTCTATATTCTTTTCCTAGCAATTTCTAAAACTCATTCTGCTTTTCACTGCTACTACATACTACTGATAGATATCTTTATAGATTATATCTGTCAGTAAAATATAAATCCATCAGTAAAAATAATAGCTTTTATATGTGACACTATCACAGATTTTCTATTACATATCTCTCAACATTGCTAGTGGAAGTGGTCTTGATGCTACAGATGTGGGTAGGAAAGCTGTCAGCTGTAAAACCAAATAATATACTTCTCTGTCCTTCAAAATTTCTAGCAATGGAAAGCTCTGTTAAACCAGAACCATACCCTTAAATATATCTAGAATCAGAAATAAGGAAAAAGGAACTAGTGCAAGGAAGGTAAGAGAAACAACTCGCAAAGAATCATTCAAACAAATTAGTCAGTGGTAATTATTTTCTAGCTAATTTATGCAACAGGTTTACCCATAATAAATAGAGTGGTTTTGCTCCACTTGACATACCTCATTATTGCTCTTATAACACTATCCTTCAGGATAATTAGTCGTACTGGCTGTACTGCATCGTAACTAGATTCACTTGAAACAGAAAAGGATGTCTTAGAAAAGTATTGATTGAAAATGTAATTAAAAATCCCCTTTTTCCACAGAGGCTCTGGAAGGGTTATTTAACTAACATGTACTCAAGGTGTGAAAGTAGTAAGAACTTGAAATCACCAAGAAATTAGAAAATCTCTCTGAATTCAAAAGGCCTTGGAGTCAAAGATGATTCATATCTATTTGAATGAACTAAGGTCAGAATGTATTTGATCATCCTACAGGAAACAGCACAGAACTTGAGGGAAACATGTAGTGAACAAGACAAAGATCAGACCAAAATAAATAAATTGGGCCACCAGTAGGGCTCCTTTTGGACAGGTTGGCAAATGTAAAAGTAACGTATCACCATCCATCTCTTTTCCCACTCCTTAACTCTTCTGATAAACAGCCATGCAATAGCTAAAGCTAGTAGTTATTGAGGTATATCCAAAAATAATAAGAAAAAAAAATCAGAATTTTGTCAAAGAATGTCCAGACAAATAATCCTCAGCCGGTCCGGCTCAATTTACAAGATTATTCTGCCACAGAAATACTGGCCTGGCCTTGACAGCTCAGAAAACTAAAAGGATGACAAATCTTATCCTTCACAAGCACAGACATAAATCATACAGCCCTGTGGAGTGCCTATTTGAAAACATGAAGGACGTGCAAGTGCAGGAGAAGGTCCTTAACAGAGTATAACCACACACAAACATGCAGAGCTGTCCCCCCAGGAGGAAATCAAGACAAAGATCTCAGTAAATGATCAGTCATACGTCTACGTGATAAATCTGGGCATTAGGTTTCCCTGCCTTCATTGTGTATATTCTATTCATGTGGCACATAACCTTGGAAGTTTGGCGTGTATGCTTGGTATAATTCATACTACATAAATTGATTATAATTTACCCCATATAGATTTTATGCTAAAAGGACTACAGAAACCTATTTATTTCAAATTGCAGTTACTTTATCAGGTATATTTATACACACACACCTTAATATAAATTGCATAGTTCTTAGCTTTCCCTATTTCACTAAATTGTGAGTTAGTTCATGGCATTTTTTTCTGAAATGTTTTCATATTAAGAAGGCTACTAAAGTATTTTAAATACATTTTAAATATTTAAAGATATTTAAACATATCTTTAGATATCTAGATAATTAAGCTAAAAGTGTGCTCACATTTTCATCATTTTAATTTTGATAACAAGGATTATACTAAAAATCAGTCCATTAACGAAAATGATGCTTGAAGTACAAGTCTGAGTGCATCACACACTCTTAAGGAAAGATAAGCATGGTGCAGGATATGTACTGGAACTGTCATTAGCAAAAAGTATCATATATGTCAGGGCAGCGCAAGTCTCGAAATCTTCCCATTATGGAGATTATTATAGTCATACTCATTGTCTCTGCCCCTTCATGACACCTAATTCCTCCACAGGATGGATTATCTTCTGGAAAGTCAGAAGAAGGGCTTGAGACATGTCCCATTCCACTCTGATCTGGTTAGGCTGTCCCTTGCAATGTGGGCAATGCAAACCTGAATCCTTCAGGCAATGGACCCTGCGCTTCCCATATCCCATGTGGATATTGGGAATATGAGCTTGTTAAGTATTTGCCAGATCAGAACCTAAATTAGAGCAGTCAAACAGGGTTTGTTCTGTAAGTTATCTCTAGTTGTCTTTCATTCTTCATTTCATGTTTCCACATCTTGTACATCCAGTCTAAGATCTTTATACGGAATTTTTCTAAACAAGAATTGGTCATCATGAAAATACTTATGGACCAACTACCATTTTTTTCTGCCTAACACAAACACTCATTGAAAAGTGTTTCTACATTTACTTTTTGAGACAAATAGATATTTTGGGCAGGGACATACTGTATGCACAGTGTGTACTGAAAAGTTACCAAAACATTAAAAGAATTCACAGTTCAGAGAGAACTCTCCAAATAAACAGTACTGCCAACTCACATTTCTCCTATAATACTGGTACTTATATCTTTTCCTTCTCATAGTAGAGAAGGAATGGGTATCAAGTTCAGCACAGTGGCCTTGTTTAAGGTTATCTATTCAAAAGAAATTGCTTTTCAAAATCAACTCAAAAATGTAATTGGCCATGATGAAATAAAATAAAAACGTGGCCCATTTTAAATGACGTATTAACAGTGATTTGTTGATGCAATATGAACTCTAGCACAGGTAGATAAATCATATTCTCGTACAGACTTATGTGATAAAGATGCTTAAGTTCACGGTGTTGTTCAAAATCTTTCTCCCATTAACAAAGTCCACAGTCTTATCCAATGCAGAACCCTAAAACCTCATGAAAAGGAAATATTTAAAGAAAACCTGCAGTCAATTACTGCAGCAAACTCCTTACCTGTTAAGGGAAGCTGATAGGCAATAAAAGAATTTCACTTATAAACTTTGCATAGCAATGGAAAGTAAACATAAAGTTAATTAATAGAGAGCAGTATATCAGAAGATACGGTACTGGGAGTGTATGTTTAACAGAGAAATATAAAATAAAATGATAAACCATTATTACTCATCTGAGTAGCAACTGTGTGCAACTTATTTATTTTTCATCATAACCCAAGGCCCAGATTGATAAACACTAGGATTGAAATCAGATCCTTGGTTTTAGTATTGATTATACAAATATTTATAGATCATTGAGTTAATTACACCAAAACAAGATAAAAAAAAAAGACATAAATACACATACATACACACCAGTTTTAAATTAACATGCTAAAAATAGTCTGAATGTATGCTTTATATAGCCCCACAAATCTCACCTATGATTTTGGTTTTAACACCAATTACTTTTTCACACAATAAAGATCTTTTCTGTTGCTAATTATCATAATGAAGGCTTCATAGAAAGAAACAGTTTCTGCAATAGGTAGATCTCAAAGTTAATGGGAGATTTAGTTTCAAATTCAGCAAAGCATTTGGATATGTTAATTTACACTGAGTTTCATTCAAGTGCTTAAAGATATTCAAAATTAAGAGGCAAAATTCCAAGCATCATTTAATTATTTAGGAGCTTAAAACTGAGCATATGCTTAAATGTTTTTTTTAGCTAATATTAACTGGCTTTATAGTATTTGAATTCTCTTCTCAAAATATAGGAAAAGATTTGATTGGTATTTCATACCTGACTTTTCTAGCATATCTTAAGACTCATGCTTATTAGAGATGCATCACATAAAAAGCAAGCCATGGTTGCAATGTCATGTTGACATTTGATAGAGGAAATATATGTAAAGGGATCACACCTGACAGAACAAAACTGTCAAAAATCTGCAACATAAATCCTCAAATCATAAAAAGCAATCATTTCTGAAAATATTTGATATGAAATAATTCCTGCAGAACAGCTGTAATAATTATGGACGCTACCTTTTGTAGCACTCCTTCCACTGCACTTACATGGCTCTTAAAATGATCAGGAATATAAATGCTCTCAGCATTTAATCAAAGTGAAACCTTAAACTGGAGGGAAATAGTCAACTTTCAACTCTACTTGCTAAATTTGAAAGGAAATCTTTCCTTTGGCATACAGACATATTCAGAGGGGAAGGAGAAAAGCAAGAGAATGACTGTGTTATCTCTTTTTCATTTGCTCCTTATTTGCTATCCTGCTGTTATCACTTTCCCCAGTTCCTTCTCCTACTGCAGTGACTTCTTCCATCTGCTTTCTCGCAGAGTTCACTTTCTCCAGCAACAGGAATATGTGCTCTGCAAACTCGCGGATGGCTCCACAGCCACCGTTGCTTTTGCAAATGTAACCCGCAGCCTTCTGAGCAACAGTGCAGGCATTAGCAGGGACGCCGCTCAAGCCCGCACTTTTTAGGCACTCGACATCAGACTCTTCATTACCTGTTGAGAAAGATGATACACATATAAATATCATATAGAGGATAAACTTTGCAAAATCCGCTTTTTCTTACACGCATTAATCTAGTTTTAAAAATTGCATTTGCAGCAACTTTCCTCTGAGAAGCTCAACAGCACTTTGTAAGTGTGAGTCAGTTCTCAGGAAAGCCTCTATGTTACATGGCAATACTAATCACACGTTGCACAAACAATAAGCAAAAGAATAGCACTTAGAATACTGGTAAAACTGTTTAAGCAACTGAGTAAGCATTTGCAAAACTACCTACTCAAGCTGCCATGGAAGTGTAGTTTTGTATGGGGCTACATAGCTTTAATTCTGTCCTTTAGTTTCCATTTCATAACATCATTTATGTAATATTCACTTGGAACGAATTGAAATAATTTCAAACTTGTAAACTTCAGCTTGTATGTGTGTGCAACAATATCAAAGGCTTATTATGACTTTCTAAATCTTGTTGTAAAAACAGCTAAGACTTAACTTATTAAATTAGGCCTTCGTTCATTAATGTATTTAATATTTAGCTTGCATCTCAACAGAACTTAAAATGTGTATTTACTTTTGGTGATCTTATGCTACAATATGCACTTAAATTCCATTAGGTCTAGTTTTTTAACACAGGGCAAAGTACTTTGAAGATGAACAATGTCAGGAGGTTCACTATTTCTGCATGAAATTTTAGTACAAAAAGAAAAGAAACTGACCTAAGTAAGCCACTTCTTTCCAGCTCAAAGCAATATCTTTTCGCCAGTCCTCTAGGACTTGTAATTTATTTGTTGCATTAACTTTTGCTACACATCCCAGCTGCATGGCAGACAGTGTTTTGGAACAGTCTCTTTCAGAGATAAGTCGAACCTATTAAATTAAGACAAGTTAAAGTAAATTCTACACACAAAGAAACATGACATAAATTGATTTATGAAGGAAAAGGAGAAATTTTGCTCATAGAAGCTCTGCTTGATATGTGAAATGTTGCATGACTGGTTTCTTCTTTCAAAACTCATAGCAAAAGTGATTCTATGACTCAAAAAAAAAAGCTAAAAAAAGCACATCACAGTCTTTAATTACAACTTGTTAAGACAGTGCATTACCAATCTGTAGGTTTCCTTGAAGTTTACAAAAAAGGAAATTCTATTTTCTTTTTTACTGAAACCCACCAAATTAAATATTGGATATCACTATCATTTTTTTACAATAGGACTTCTAAGCCTCAACAGAACATGAAGCAAACTGATGTGGCACATTCACCTCAGGAATTTCATTCTGATTTTGAAATTTAAGAACACCACACTAGATAGGAAATAAAGGTGACTGCAGCAGGATCATTAATCTCAGATCCATCCTCCTCCTCTCTCAGGTTTTATACCCAGTTTACAGACAAATTTATCTTCCCTAACTGCTACTAAGTGATAATTAATATTTGACGTATCTGATTTTAAATAACGGGACATGTGCACAAAGCACGGGCATGTCAGCCACATGTGCTAGAAATACAGCAAGTGCAGCCCAAAGCCCATGGAGTTTCTAATGAGAGACTGCAAGACAAAGTAGGAATGAAAATGGGTGCTCACAAGCAACAAAATGATTGCAAGGTTCCTCTCCTTTGCCTCGTAGAAAACAGAGCTGGAGGTTTTGAAAACCCATCTACTCCTTTCCATTGCCTCAAGGCAGCATCAGCTCCTCCTCTATTTCAAGAATGTCTTGCCTAACCTGTTTTAAGAACTCCTACTACTGAGACTGCAAAATGTCTCTAAACAGTCTCCTTGGGGCTTGGCTTAGTTTACCTTGTCCATACCTATCTCCACCTGCAGTATGATTTAAATAAAGCTTGCTGAAGACACCCTGGACCTCTATTAGTCAGTTCTTATTCTTAAAAAAATTCTTATGGCTATGTCAAAGGCAGCAGCACATATAGAAAACAGCAGGGTGGCTAATTTAACCTAAAAGTTACTAGATCCTCAGTTTAGCAGAATTCAGTACCAATAATTCAGAAAAGCAGTCATATTATAATCTGTGTTATTAAAAAATATTAAAAATCTGTGTTATTCCAGTTTGCCTTGAATTCTTGATGTTTCAGTGAGTATAAATTGTAGTTAATGCAATTACATGGACAAAAGCAATTGGTGTTTGATTTTCCCACTTTGCCATCATCATGGCAAAGTAACCTCAGATTAACTAATGAATTTCCCTGTGTACCCCTTCCTCTTCCCTAACTAAGACATAACGAAGTATCCCTCCTTCGCAGAGCTACTGCAAAAACATGTTAATAGTTTGTGTAGCATGCAGATGTCACAATAAACAATGTTATAATTAACATGTATCTAAAACACCACTCAATAGGATTAAGGCTAGCAAAACACTATACAAATTTCTTCTCTCAATTTTTCCAAGAGAGAAAGAGAAAAAAAGAAATGCCATGACTATACTGATTGAGAGCAAGAACTTTATCAAAAAGTGTAGTTTTCCTTGAAAGAATCTGAGAACACTTGTCCCAACCCTGTGCCAACATATCATACACCTTGCTCTAAAGCATTCTGAAGGAACTTCTGTAGGAACTGCTGTAGATTTTAGAAACTTTTAATGTTCAGTTTACATCAGAAATAAAGCTCGAACATTTCAGAACAATGCTTACCTGTATTCCTCTTTTTTTTAAGAGCTCAATCCCAACAATATCTCTGTAATCATAAGAGACCATTTCCTTCTGATCTTCTGTCACATAAATACGACCGTTTGTCAGGCATCCATCAATGCTGCAAACCAGGAGCTTCACCTCTTTTAATGGCTCTTTACCAAAATATCCAAATCTAGACAAAGAAGTTATCTTTTCATGACGGAAGCTTTTGCATAGTCAAAAAAATAAACAAATTCTTTTGTGTGAAGATCACAGTTGTAACACCTTTGAAATTGTTTTAAGAAAAATCTTTTTTAGAAAAGTCTCTTCTTATCTTCACTCATGAAGTATATTCTCCTCCATCAAAGAAAAAAAAAATCCAAGATAACTTGGTTAGGCTTTCTCTTTAAAAAACAGGAAAACGTATTTCCTTGGCATAAAATGTTAGGTTCTACATCACCAGTCACATGTATCAGTAAGCATGGTGCTGGCCATGGAAGCCCAAGACAGGACAGAAGAAAAAGGCTAGAGGTGATACTAACATATCTCTGGGGTATAGTGGGATTTACAATCTCCCTTTGCCCTAGGCTGAAACTTTAAAAATGAAACTGCAAAGGTAATTCATCTGATTTCCGCAGACAAAGGAAAAAACGATGCATCTTGTACTTTAAGTTATAAGCTCAAAACTAAACAAACATTATGAAGTCATAGGATGATAACTTGAAACAAGGAGCGACACAAAAAGCCATAAGGGATGAGGAAGTGTTTTTACCTCAGCACTCTTTGCTCTGCAATCGGCCAGTCGATGTCTATATCAATATCGACGCTGTGCTCTGCACGCATTTCATAGTAGGCCATTTTACCACCCTAAATGGAAAATAACATATTAACGTTTTCTATTTGGGTTAATAGAACCATAAAACTGTACCAAGGAGCAAGCAATAAAACCTAGATGTCCATTTATGCAGCAGTCATAGTGGCTTAAATACAACTGAACCACCCAAAATGACATTTTGCTAATTACACAGAATCCAGCATTTTAAGTAAATCTACATTCTCAGTTTACAACTACAGAAAGTGTGCCAGAAGGATGTCATGCCCTCTAGTCAATAGATCATAGTGATTTACTAGGTTTTTAATCTAATAATATAGTAAAATAGTAACATTTGTCACCGATGCAGTACAAGCATGCTTTTTTCTTTTTTGCTTTGTTACCTACACAAAGACTTCATCTCAACTGGAAAAATATCTACCAAATGGTAATTTAATTCAAAAGCAAGAGAGCAAAACAGAATCAATAAAATAAGAGAGAGAAAAGCAAAAGACATTGATCATCCAAAATTTAGCACCTCAACCTTCATAAAATATACAAAGCAATGAAGCTCAATGCTTTAAGTCCACACAGCACCTGCAGGCACTACATGGATCTACTTGAACTACAGAGACCTAAGTTAGCAACTAGTGAGTTATTTGCAAAAGACAGAAACAAGAGCCTTACATTCCTGCCATACCTCATAAAGTACTTCCAGCAGAAATATGGAAATACCTGTGTTAGACTTTTGTGTAGTTCTGGTGACAAATACTGGAAATAATCTGTAAGATGGAAAACCTGTCTTACATGAGAAGAATTAGGGGGCTATGTGAGCAGACAAATGAAAGCTGAAGTAAATTCACTTGTTCTGTACTACCTCACCGGGAATGCACTACATCAAGAAGGGGGAAAGGGCCCTTTCAAAATTACAATACAGAACTGATACAAGACCAAAGGTTTAAGACCATGAATAAGCCAACTGATGCAAATCTCAATACAGTATTCTTTTTGGCTTATATCCAGATATACAAATATTATTTGCATGAATACATTTGCTGTGGAGGAAGCTGTTACCAGAACTGTCCTACTTACAGTGGCACTGTAGGTATCACACCTAAGTTAACCACCCTGAGGTCAAGGTGCTGTTACTGGCACTGACTGTCAGAAGAAGAGAGATGTTACTGAATTCAGATCCCTCTGTGTCAGAAGTAGAAGAAGCATTATTCTAGTAAGCCATGAAGGACAGAAACACTAACCTGCAAGTAACCTTTCTCAATCAAATGCCTCTTAGCAAAGTAAAATGAGCCATTTTCATACAGCTCTCCAGGCCAATCTTGTCTCCGGTACCGTTTTGCTGGGTTCAGGTTTTGAGGCTCTGTCATTTTGTTTTCTGTGAGCAAAGAGAAACGACAAACTAAGTTTTCCAGAAATCCTTGTTCGGAGACTCTTCCTAACTTTTTATTTTCAATTGAAAGCTATTTAAAGAATTAAGGGAATAAATTCAGATGTTCACTTCTTTCATTGCTGTTTCTCATAGCTTAGCTTTATAAATAATCACTGAACTCTGTGTTCTTTGTTGCAACTGATAATAACAAACGGGAAGACTGCCCTACGTTTCTAGCAGAAACAATGTTTGAAAAGAAAAATTATTGAGAGGTCCTCAGTTCCATAGTTGGTTAATAAACTTTCTTCTAGAGTGTTCTTGCCTGTGTGAAGAAGGAAATATCAGACTTTCCATGTTCTGTCTATCTTCTAGTACGCTACAGGAAGGGTTAAAGTGAGAGTAACCACACACAAAATCAGCTACCTACACCTAAAAACAAAGATGCCCTAAATCAAATCTGAAATCTGAGGGAATCAGCCAAAAATCTAGTAGGTATAAAGACATTATGAGAAGAAGTTTTGCCTATGGAAACATGTTGTCACTTTCTACCTAAAGGGAGCCATATTAGCCATTCTCAACTGGCTTAATCAGTGTCCACAAAAAAGAAAACAAAGTCTTTGAAAAAGTAATAGCAGTAGTGAATACAGTAGAAACTGAGCCAGGGACCAGAGACACCTATGCTTAGGTCTCTCAAAATGCACCACATCTCATGATACAATGAGAATTTGAGTATTTGAATTCTCAAATACTCCAATTATCCAGAGGTTTTCTAATATACACATTTTAAATTTAGTAACTACATTACAGCTTTGTGTTCCAGGAAGTAAACAGCCTATTGCAAAGAGACACAGTTCTCTTTTAGCGTGCAATATATTAATCTGTTAAGGGCAAGGATCAATAAAAATACACATAAAAGGATAAAAAACACTTGTAAGGTATTCAGTATTTTAAAGTCGCCTGAAAAGAGTCTGACACTCCACTCTTGTCATTGCTGTTAACTGAAACACCACATTCCTGAATGACAATTTTCTTTTCCTCTTAAGCTGTGAGTGTTGGTATGACTTTTTTTTCCCTCCCCCAACTCTTCTCATATATACTCCTGGTAAAAGAATGATTCTTCCTCTTCCACCACATTAAAAGACCTCAGATGTCACATGCTACTAAAGAATGATTTTCTGTTTCAGGTAGGCCTTGAAGCTTTCTTTCTTTCTAATACTTTGAGCGTACAAGGAATTCACAGAAGCCAATACAGGATGTCAAATACCTATGGAGACTTGATGCCACCCAACTTCTTCATGAAGCCACATGGTACCTCCAAATGAGATTTATTCTTTCACAGATGTCCATTCTAGCATCTCAAGATGTTAAGTGAACTTAGTCCTGGATGCCTAAAACGCAATCCACAGAATCCTAACTTTCAGCCATGATTTTGATGTTCCTCTTACAGGTTACATACAAATTGCATCACATTATTTCTCCCCTTTTCAGAAACAATGAGGATGTTCAAATTGTCTATTCATTCTAATCAAAAACCTTTTATTCCATCTCTAGTACCATGCTTCAGTTATACTGCACATGCTCTTCTATAACACAGTTCAAAATAAACAGGTAAAAAAGAGGCAATTGAAGCATTTTATATTTTAAAAACTACAGAATAATTCTTAATACCCAAGTACTACCAAAGAATGAGGTGGAAGTTACTGAAAGATAGAAGCAAACATTTCTTTTTTAGACACAGAAATAAAAACAACATAGTGTGGGGAGGAGATCTTTGTACAAGTATGAAAGGTAGTTCTGCAACTACAATTAGGCACAATCTTAATTTACTTGTAAAGAGTTCAGTTTTTTTTCATCTTGGGAAACGTAGCTGGGAAGCAAGCAACTTTCTCAATGAGAAATAGTCACATTTCTTCATATGAGCCAATTAACATGAGCTCAGAATTCATGACTCAAAGGCAGTTTGCAAGCTGACATAAGCCCACAGACTAATTAACAGCTGCAATAAACCCTAAGCCTTCAGGCTATGAGGTTGCCCTCCCACCTTCACTTAGACTTGACATCAGCCTTTCACTAGCCAGAGCAAAGTAAGAACAAAATATTTTCCTAATTAAGACAAGACCTCAGGGTCATGTCAGTATACACCTGCATACCTGCCAAGCAGGAATTAACACATACAGGTTAGGAAATTTTTGTTATGAGCCTAGACATGTTAATAACACTTGCACTTTCAGCAGCTCATCACTTCTACAAAACAATGAGCAATGACCATACATAAACTTGATATATAAACAATGATCATATAAAACCAGCACTACTTAAAGATATTTCCAAGTGATCTCATTACTAGGACTTAGGCCTGTGCCTCTGATACCACCTCCTACTGTACCACACCATGGATGTGAACATAAAGCCTTTGAATAGAATTGTTATTGAGTATAATTGTAAGGAGAAAAAAACAAATATTACCTCCTTTTTTCACCTCGCTCCATCTAAATTGATGCCTTCTTACAACAGAAAAGACGGAATCAAAGCCCTCTTTCTGGATCAGATCTGCCACTTTTATAAGATCACTGGGGTGTAAACAGGGAGATGTTGCTTGAATATTTCCTACAATATCAATCTCTAAAGAAAAACAAACATTTATGAAACAGTGATTTTTTTTAATAAGCAGTTTCAAAGTGTGGCATAAGCAAATGCCATGTAAAAAAGAGAACATTACTAGCTTCTATTTAATATAGGCTTTACTTTCCCTTTTTTCCAAATAAAATAAAATAAATACATCATCCTTCTAGGTCTTTAATAAAATATAAAAACTCAGCACATTTCCCTCTGAAACCCAACGAATAATGCTCATGTACCATGATGATGATTAAGAAACTCTCTGATAGTCTCTAGAGAAGTAGAAGAGTCTTGAGACACTTCAGGACTTCGGCGATGAACTTGAGCACCAAACTGCTTTGCAACCTTCTCAATTTCATCGTGGTCTGTAGAGACCCATACACTGTTGGCAGAAAGGGACAGAGATGAATAAGCATATAAAGAACAACAATTTAGTTTGCCTTGAATCCTATTAAAATAAGACATCATGGTTAGAGAAGCAGGAGGTTGCTAATCCAACATTACTAATTTGCTTGTCATAGTCTGCTGAACGGAACAATGCTCTGTTTTATCCATGGATTAAATCTGGGAACTAGTTATTAAAATGTTCCTGTTGATACAAGGATAAACCACTTTTAGAAATGAAGAACATATTGGCTAGATCATCAAATATCAAGCTTGAGCTGCACTTCAATTTAATCTGATCTACCCATGGCACTTGATCTACCATGCATATAAGTAGCTTGAGTAACACCAGAGTCAGAAATGCTACTGTAAATACTCAACCCCAGCATGCTACAATCTGCAAGGCACAATGGGTGAAAGGATGCATTCAAAAAGGAGGCACTTGAAGAGTTCAGAAACAACCCTGACAACAGACAAAACTGCTATTCAGTTACAGAACTAGACAGAACTAGCTTTTTCTTTGAGGATAATGAAACCTTGTTAGGATAAGGAAATCCAAAGCCTGAGGAAGAGCCTGTTAAGAGATAACCACAGATGCTCTGATGGGAAGAAATAAAAAAAAAAAAAAGAAGAAGAAAAGGCAAAAACACAGTTCTCACAATAGCAAAGCAAGATCATTTTTATTTTGGTACAATAAACATTCACAAAGGCAATGGCCAAACCCGGCTCTCGGGTAAAGATGAACACTCGCGTTCCTGCTGCCGCGGGTCTCGGAGGCAGGACAGCCACGTCACGTCACCCGCACGCGAACGGGCGCCAGGGCCCGGGGCATTTCCTCGTGCTTCGGCGTCAAACATACCCACCCGTTTGACCAACAAGAGTCTGGCCGGGCAATGTGCACCCTGACGGGCGGGTTTGGACTCCGAGGCGGGCACCACTCCCTCTATAAAAACAGAGGGCGCCTCCCGAGTGGTTTTACATGCACACAGGCACACAAGTACACGTGTGTATATATATATATATATATATAAAATATATATGTGTGCATATATACACACACATATATGTACATATACATACATATAAGTGTATATATACATATATACACACATATGTACATACATATATATGTGCATATATATGTATATACATATATTTGCGCATATATATATATGTATATACATATATATACACACACACACAAATATACCCCCCCCCAAGCCTCAGCCGCCTCCCCGGCCTCCAGGCCACCCCTGCCCCCCGTGGGGGCGCCCCCACCCCCGTCCCGCCGTAATGCCCATGCGCACACGGGCGGGCGGAGGGGGGGGGAGCAGGGGGCTCTGCGCATGCGCACCTGTGGAAGACGCCGGCGTCGATGGCGGCGCGCAGCACCCAGCCGAGGAGCGGCACCCCGGCCAGCAGCTTGATGTTCTTCAGTGGGATCCCCTTGCTGCCGCCTCGCGCCAGCACCAGGGCGGCCAGGTGGCCCCCGGACCGCGAGTCGGCCGCCGGCAGCGCGCGGGAGCCGCCGACCTCGGCCTCCATGTTGCCACCACCGGCTCCTCGCCGCTACCCACGCCCTGGGGAGCGGCGCTGCCGGCCGCCCTGCGCGCCGGGCATGCTGGGAAGTGTAGTCCGCTGTGGGTGGGTGTGGGGGGGGAGGGTGTCACTGCGCATGCGCAGAGGGGGGCGGTGGAGTCGTCGGGAATGGCCGTTGGGAGAGGGCGCGGCCGTTGGGCGAGGCTGGCGGTGTTGGCTCTTCTGGGCATCTCGGTGCGGTTGTGGTGGGGGAAGTGGGCAGGACACATAGGGCTACCGCACGTTGGCCCTAACGTTTTTCAAGGTGCTGCTGCTTGTGCATGTGCCTTCACACAGGTGTAGCGGCATCTCCTACCTTAACATCTACTTCAACATCTCCAAGGTGGCTTTTGGTGCTGCTCAGCAGCACACAGCCCTTTTGGGGCAGGTTGCTGGGCATGCACTTTGGCGCCATGTCTGGAAAACTGCATAAACCACATGCTGTTTTCCTTTAGCTCCTTCAGGATAAATCCTCAGTGTTGGTGGGTCTGGCTTGTGTCATTTTTTTTGTGCAGTGAGTCCCGGCAGAGGGCAGAGTAATCACACGTGAGAGGGAATTTTCCTGCAGTCATAATGTCCATTTTCCATTTGCTGAAGGCATGTGAAAACATAAAAACATCCTACCTTAAGTTCTATGAGCAAAGTCATGGAAGGTGGAATGGCTACAATAAAGTATTACACTACCAATATATACCAATACAAGGCTGTACAGGAGTGTGGTTTTTAATACTCCTCAGAAAATGGAAAATAGGGGCTGGTGGAACATGTAAGCTCAGTCCTGAACATTGACATGCTTACTCCATGATAGGAATGTTTCACACCCAGTTCAGTGCAGTTTTCAGGGTGTATTTAGGTGTGTGGCAGGCTTCAAGGAGGACCTCCAGGAGGGCTGAAAGACAAGTGACTTCTTTACCTGACACGAGCGATTTTACTAGACGCTACCTGTCAGAGCTTTTAGGACTGTGTATAAGAGAAAGGAATGTGTCAAATTCTAGCCTAACTTTTTAGCAAAGGCAGCATTTACAAGGCACAACACCTATTTTGCAAACAAAAAAAAACCCCCAAATCTTATCTTTTGCTTTTTTTCCTTTTTTTTTTTCAAAGAAAGATACAAGTACATATGGGATCAGTTTTATGGACTAACTTTTAAATTGCATGATTTTATGTAGATCTTTGAGAAATTTCTTTAAAGAAGCCATAAACAGGAATTACATAGTGTCTGGTGTATGTACTGTCATATAATATGTATGCATTAATTCCTAAATCATATTTTATTACTGCATTGTCTTTTCCATACATTTTGAAGCATGAATGTTCATTTTGGAAGGTATTGTGATAAAATTATTAATGTTGCAAAGAGAATGTACAAAGCTTTATCAAGTGAAGAATTAGAAAAATATATACTCGAGTAAATCTCTTTCTAAATTACTTAGATAATTGTTACACTGTTCAATATACCTGCCTGCTAAGTGGGAATGTATTAAAAACATTGAGCTGTGTTTTGGTTTATCACATTATGGAAACAGGAAGGTTTATCAGTAGTAATAAGAAATATTTTTTAAAAAAGAGATCATCTACAAAATGAACTTCAGTGTCTCAAAGTCCAGGGGTACCCTAAATGAAGAGCTGAGTCTGGTTTCCACTTTCATCTACTGATAAGAGAAACTGCATTAGAAGATGTGGAAAACATCGTCGATTTTTCTAGATGAGGTTCCTCTAGTAAGATTTTATTTACAAGCATGTACTTAATGGAAAACTTTTTGCATTCACTTTTTCCTTCACACCAGTAGGAAATGTACCTCATTTAGGTACCTTCTGGCTTGTTTCCTCCATATGATATTGGCCTCTTGCTCCTGAAGGAACTATTGGTGCCTTTTCTTGATGAGATAGGAACATTTGCTGTTCTTAGTAACAGAACAAAGTAAGGGTTTTATTTTGTTATCAACATAAAGCTTCCCATTTCTTTGGAAAGTTCAAACAATCATGAGGTGACTTCCAGGCACACATTTCCCCATGCAGAGGAAAGAGTTTCATCTCTCTCTGTCATCACTAATTAGTGGCCTGCACATTCCCACATCAAACACCCTGGTCACCTTGTGACTGTACAGCCTGCCTGTCCCATGTCCTGTCATGTCCAACCATCTATGAACAAATAGGGCCAAATGTGCTCATTTCAAGGAAATACTGATATATTAGCAAAATTAGTGGGAATAGATCTCTATTAAAAACATGTTCCATGCCGTATGATTCCATTGGGGATAATAAAACTTGTGAATTTCCTTTCTGGCCACAGTTCAGTTGCTGTAAAGTATCACGTAGTTTCTCTCAAGAAAGTCGGTTCATTCACGTTTGTATGTAAGAGTGGGGAGATGAACAAACTCTGAGATATTAGACAGGTTGATGTTGAGGTATTACTGTAATTACCATTAAAAAAAAAAACAGTAATCATGTGCTAACAAGGACCATGCTTTGGAATTAACACATATCAATCCACTGCATGTGTAGGGCAGTATTTTGGTATGCAGTATGTTATTAGTAACAGTTATTGATGCATATCAGCTGTGGCTGAGATGAAACCTAACTCCTAATGACAGCTGGGGTCTGATTTCAAACTGATGCCCTCTGAACTGCCAGCCAGGAGATCTACTCTGCTTTTTCTACCATTCACACTAATTGGAACATCATTCTCAAAGATAGGCAAAATATACGATAGTCATTCCCTGAAGCTCTCACAGGGCCTGCAAGAGAAGAACCTTCTGATGTATTGAGGGAAGCCTAACTCCTTGGAAAATAGTGATAAAACCATCATTGACCTAACAGGACAGGACAGGATTTTGGGTATCTGAAGCGAGTTCTGTTTATGGGAGACAAAAAACTGCGATCATTGCAGGCAGATTGAAATACAAGGGGGGCAACGTACATAACCAAAAATACTATGGATACACATAAGACACTGTCCATGGAAGCATGTGGAAATCTGTGATAATGTAATACTGAAATAGGTAAACTGGAAGTTACCGTTTCTGGACGCCTCTACAGCAATAGAAACATTTGTATATCCAGTTCTTACCTTTCTCTACTATAAACCATGAAAGCTCCAGTGAAATTGTTAGAGTTGCACTTGAATCCAACCACTATAAATGAAAAGAAAAATGGGCCTCAGGATGAGCAGCAAATCACCTGTTCTTCTTACTCAAAGCTTTATGCAAGTCCTGTGTCTGTCCATGAGAATTAGATAAATAAGAGTTAACATTCATTTTTTAAAAAGGTCAAGGAAGTGCCCGTGGGTCTGAGACTGCTGTAAGTCACTTCTGAAAAGCGGAGGGAAAGAAGCATGATTACTTAGAGCGTGCAGTTGGCTTGGCGTATTGCTCAGCCATTCTGCAGAAATGATGTGAAACAAACTACTTTGCTGAAATGCACTGAAATACACGGTTGTTTAATTCAGTGTCTGGGGGATGGATTGTCTTCCCTTTGGCTATCTGTTGAATACAGAAGAAATCAGAACTGAAATGTGTATATTTAAAAGTAATTTCAGATAGCTGAACTGAAATTATTATTATTATTAACACTATTGCATTTTTTGACAAATGGTGTTGACTTTACATATTTGGTTATAAAGTAATTATTAATTCTTGTAACAACACTAATTTCACCTTTATTTAAACTCACTGTAAGATAAACTAAATCACTCTGTGAATCAAATCCTTGATGCTGCAAATATATATGCAATAATTATTTGTATACTTTATTTTCCATATCACATCTACATCCTAAGTCATTTAAATGAGGCAATAAAACAGGAAGCCTGAATACCTCCATTTTTTGTATAGCCAAAAGGAAGGATACTTTTAAATAAGCTTCTGATGATTCCTCTGGAAGATGTCTGAAGGGAAAAACTTTGAATTATTCTCTAGATAGGTGATATTCAGCTTAGGCATAGCAAAAAAGAAAATCAGTCACAACTCTTCAATGACAAGAAACAAATGCATGTACATGTAAAATGGAGAATCTAGAGAAGGGGTGAGTCTGTCATATCAGCAGCTTGATCCTGGGGAAAAAAATGGATTTTAGTAGTGCTGGTGATCCCAAAACCTTCAGCCTTCAACCCCATCATTCCCAGATGCCGAGTTAGTGTGTCCTGTTGACACAGGCAAGGCTGAGCCGGGGCCACATTTGCAGTCAATAGGAATTTTCTGCCAGTTCACACTGACAAAGACATTTGGAACCTTTCTTGGTAGGTTTTAGTTTTTATTTTGTAATATCAATTAGCTATGATCCTCCCTAAAATCTTCTGATCTTAAGTTCCCTACTACTAAAAGGGCTTCGTATGCATATGGTATCTTTTTCCCATGGTTAGTGACTTTCAATCTTTTGACTTAAAAACCTTAGGTCTTCGTACAGAATGTCAGGAGATGTCATGGTTTGGCATTTTGGCATTTTTTGAACTAACGCTTTTTCACACTTCTGTCTAGGTGTTTTTTTTCCTAGCCTCTTGTATCTCCCTTCTACCAAGCAGACTATGGGGGGCCACCTGAGACCCAAAAACAAAAGGAAGTTGTTGTTGACTACTAAAGTGAAAGAATTATATTCCTTCATGGTTTTCCTTATTAAAATGAAACTGTGAAGAAAGCCTGAGGAAAAGGAGTTCTTCAATTACAAGAAGAAACTGAGAGGAGACATAATAATAATCTTCAAATAAATATGTGCAAGAAAAGAGAAAATAAAGTATCATGTCAGTGTGGAAAACAGCTATAAGCTTGAGTTATATTACAAAATGCTCAGGCTATCTATTAGAATTTTAATCCAAAAAATAATTGCACTCTGTAATAAATTGCCTGTGGGGATGTGACATCTTGCTCATTGACAGATGACACTGTTACAGAGTCAGTGTCAGAGTCTTAGCAGAGTGCAGTGGTCCTGGGCTTGGCACAAACATCCCATTTTAGCCAGCAATGCATTCTTCC